GAATACTTACAGTTAAAATGAAACATTTTATGTCCTAAATATTACATCTTTTTTATAGGTTATTTTATTTATTTACATTTCAAATATTATCCCCCTCTTCCCAGTTTCCCCTCTGCAAACCCCCTGTCCCCCTCCCCTTGCTTCTTTGAGGATGTTCCCCCACCCACCCACTCTAGCCTCACCACCCTAGTATCCCCCCAGGCTGGGGCGTTGAGCCTCCACAGGACCAAGGACCTCCTTCCCATTGGACCAGATAAGGCTCTGCTACTTATGCAGCTGGAGCCATGGGTCCCTCCATGTGTACTCTTTGATTGGTGGTTTAGTCCCTGGGAGCTCTGAGGGGGTCTGGTTAGTTGATACTGTTGTTCTTCCTATGAGGTTGCAAACTCCTTCAGCTCCTTCAGTCCTTCCCCTAACTCCTCCATTGGGGTCCCCGTGCTCAGTCCTATCTTAATGTAAAATATTATAGCTAAAACGTTTGCATTAATTTTTTTTAAGTAAAATCAAGTTTGACCTGCACTTATTTTCCTCGGAGGCCAAGAAAAGAAACTGGGCCCCTCTTTCACTTGGCATGACTTTCCCGATCCTCACCCATTGACACTATAATAATAAAAATAATTATTTAAACAGATTCTTTAATTTTTTTCTCAGAACGATTTATTCTTTACAAGAGTAACAGTCCCTTTAACTGAGGCTGGGCACAGACACAAGCCTCTCCATGGAACAGACAGATAGATAGGTATCCTTTCCTGGAGAAGCTTTGGAACAGTGAGCAAGCCCCACCCCCTCTCTAGCTCTGATACAGTGTAAACAAATGAATTGGCTCAAATGAAAAGCTCCAGGACCGGTGAACACTGGATATGATAACACAGTGAACTTCCACGAGAATCCTACTGAGCACCTCTGCCCTGAGTTCACCCCAGCACTTAATTTCTTTTATTCCATCCTAAAATACTTGTCGCTGCCTTGCTTTTAAGGGCACTAGGCTACGTGCGTTCTCTTAAGTTATAATGTAGATGTCACCAACGCCCTATGAAAAAAATGCCATCTCCACTTAAAAACCTGGTCTAGAGGCAAGGTTGAAGGAGGTTAAGTAAATTACCCATTAACTGGGACTGGGACGGAGGTTAGAATCTGGTGGCTGCTCACAGAGTCAAGGATTTGAGAAAGCATAGAGACTAGGTGAGCCTGTGTGAAGGAGGTGTCTCCTCTCTGGAGCTGTTGGTCTCACACTGAAAGCAGACACTAACTCACTTCTTGTGTGTCTGTTGGGAGGCAGTGTGTCCCGAATGGCCAGCCTGGCTTACCCATCTCTACTGACTTACGGTTTAACCAAGCACTCAGGTGCTCAGAGCTACTTCGGTAAGATTCTTTCATGATTGGTGCATTATGAGCCAGGTAGTCAATGAGAAGAGGCCAGGGACACAGCCTGTTGGATATGTCAGTTGACAGATGATGCCTGAGGGTCACAAGCCTGCAACCATTTTTTCACAGTGTGTTGTCCTACCTACTGAGTGTGGGCATGGGGAGGGAGGGTCATGAGTTACATATTTGTGTAGACAAAATTTTACACAGCCTTTCTCAGTCCTTGCTGGTCGGTATAGCTCAAGGTGCTTGTTCTTTGTCCCAAGCTTTGTAGAGGCTTTGTTCATCTTACCATAGGTTTAGCTCCATGACAGATGCTCTCTGTTTTCCCACTGAGCATTTATGCCATGTGGAAAACAAGAGCAACTTGAAGGCATCAAGAAGACTCTTATGGGCCTAGAGAGATGGCTCAGTGGGTTAAGAGCACTGGATGCTCTTTCAGGGGTCCTGAGTTCAATTCCCAACAACCACATAGTGGCTCACAATCATCTTTAATGGGATCTGATGCCCTCTTCTGGCATGCAGGTATATAGGTAGATAGAGCTGGCAAGATGGCTCATGGGGTTAAAAATGTGTTGCCAAGCCTGACACATAACCACTGTGGCACCTAAACACACACACACACACACATACACACACACACAAATAAACAATGCAGTTTATAAAAATGAAAGCTCATTCATTGTCCTGCTGTAGCATGCATGCCACCATGCCAGTTCACCCCACACTGGCATAAATCCTCACCTACCCCAGTGTCGAGCATTAAACATGGGTGGCATGGGCCATGCCTGGTCCTGCATCCTTTTTAGCTGATGGCATTGCTGTGCTAGTAACCTATCAATAGTCTCTCCAGGGATTTGAAGGCTCTGCCAATTGCCATAACACAAGTACTTCCACAGTGGTCAATCCTGAACTGCTATTTAACAATCAGTTTACCAAGCTCCTGAAGTTCCAACACTCATGCGCCAAGAGCTGATGAAACCTGTGACATGTCCATTCTCAGTCCTCTGCAGCACAGAGGCAGGAAACTGTAACCACATTCCTCCCAGCAAGCTTTCCTGCCTGTCTTCCCGGTGTCATTGTCTCCAGTGTGAACGGGCTACAGCTCTCCCCTTCTACCCAGAATAGCAAGCTGCATGGCCTAGATGAGCATCTTCTTTGCATTAAGGCACAAACTGTAAGTTATGCAAGCCACGGAGCCTAGTGTTTGGACTGGGATTTTGTTTTGGGGTGTGTGTATGAGTGTGTGTGTACATGTGTGTATTTACCATGTCATTTCTGTTATCTCTCTCTCTCTCTCTCTTTCTTTCTTTCTTCCTTTCTTTTTTTTAAAAGATTTAGTCATTTATTTTATGTATGTGAGTACACTGAAGCTGTCTTCAGACACACCAGATCCCATTACAGATGGTTGTGAGACACCATGTGGTTACTGGGAATTGAACTCAGGACCTCTGGAAGAACAGTCAGTGCTCTTAACCACTGAGCCATCTCTCCAGCCCCGCCATTCAGTTTTTGTTTTTTTTTTTTTTTTTTGAAGTATTATTATGGTGTTTTATTCCTAAAATGCCTGGCTGATTCTTTCTTCCCCTTAGCATCTCCTTTGTTTGCTGGACTCTTTCCTTCATTTCAGGGATGTTTGTCCTTACTGCTTAGAGCTGTTTTGTAATCACAGCTCTAAAATCCTTGTTAGATAATTCTGACTCTGTGTTTGACATCTCTGCTGTAGTGCTTCTTACAGTTCCCTCCACGACACACACACACACCCCCCACCCCCGCCAACCAGGAAAGTTGTGTGTCTGGATGGTGACTATTTTGGATGCTATGCCTCAAGACTCTAGATATTATTTAAACCCTTTGGTTGATGCTTTCACTTAGACAAACTGTTTTGTTCAGTGGACCAGGTTGGATCTAGGCTAAAAGTTCTGGCCAGCTTTCCATGGATGTGATTTCAGTGTTCACACTTTTACTAGCCATTGCAATGAAACCTCAGTTGCCAAAGTGTCTGCACATGCCCCCAGTCACCCAGCAGTGAGTGTGGGTCTCAGACTACACTCTAGCCCACAGTTTGCTTCTCTAAGTCTATGGCAGTCTGTGTAGAGCCAGTTCCAGGCACCAAGAACTGAAGAGTTTGTACTCAGCTTTTTGAGGCTGCTTCCCTCTTCCCCAGCCGCAGTGGGAGTTCCCTGGGGTTCACCCTTTCTAGTCTCCAGATAGAAGGGTGGGACCATGATTACCTCATTTCAGCACATGTTTGCTGCATGCAAGCACATACCTGAGGCCAAGTAATGTAAGAATTATTTAAATCCATGAGGATTCCTCCTGTGTCCTGGAGACCACAGCTCCTCCAATCCCAGATGTTTCTCCTTCCTCAGGACTTTAGGCTTCTATAAGCCAGTGCAGTCAATGGTGCCCCTACCACCATCTTAGCATTGCTCTGGGACTGGATTGCAGAATGGAGACAGGAAGTGAGAACGGAAACGTCCCCCACTCTTTTTTAATATTAGAAACACCTTTCCCATTCTTCGCACTTCAGAATCTTTCTCGGTCCTGAAGCAGCTCCTGGGTCGGGGCTCTAATTAAACCTAGAGAAAGTCCTAGAGGAAAAAGAAATGGAGGCACACTGGCGGCTCTCTAATATTCTAAATCATCTCTTCCCAATCTACCTGCTACTAGTCACTTTCTGAAGTCCTCAAAAGGCTGATTTACATCAATTATGCCCAGGCTTTATAACCCTTTTGGGAGCAGACACAGAACTGAGTTCACCAGAACCCCACAGTCTAATCAGAAGGATCTTTTTAAACCATAAATGTAGTCACATCATTCCCCTGCTTAAGGTCTATAAAGCACCTGCTCCCTGTGCCCCTAAAGATTCCATGCTTGCCCTGTCTCCTTTTCTTTCCAGCTTCCAGCCACCACTCTTGTCCTCAGCATTATCACTGAGCCATATACAGCTCCCAGCACACAATGCATTTGGGAGCCCCAGCATACAATGCATTTGGGAGCCCCAGCACACAATGCATTTGGGAGCCCCAG